CTTAGGATGGAGATGGAGCTCACGATAGAGATATAGTTCAAGCAATAACGAAACAATCAGATTTATTAAATCCAATTTTACATTATAAAGATAAAAGAGACGAAACACGAGTAAAAGAGACTTAAAACTTTGATCCAATGGAGAGTTGTTTGACCCGATTTAGCCTAAACCCAATCCAAAATACTACTTTAATTGTACTACAAAACACCCGCTTAGGTAAGCCTCCAAAATTTATTTGTCCATACTGAAAATGGCAATAACAGTTTGTTAACCATATCCGTTACCACGAGAGACATAGTTGCTCCATTTTTTTCGCCGCTCGTTCCTTCTGGTCGAAGCAGAGCTCTCTTTTACAGGGCCGAACAGCCATAAGCGACCTTCTAAGGTCGAGGATTCCTAAACTTCTTCCCTAAGAATCTGGCAATTTACATGAACAAATGGCCTCTGAATCGAATCCGAATAAGACTCCGACTCCCAAAGTCGATCCATGCAAAACCCTAGGTCGCAAGCTCCTCATCAACCATTCCGAGTTTGTAAGACTCATCATCTCCTCTCTTCACTCCCTCGGCTGCCGCAGGGCCGCCTCATCGCTAGAGCGCGAGTCTGGGATTCCTCTTGACTGTCCGGAGTACACCGCTATTTCTTTCCACGTCCTTTCTGGAAGATGGAACGACTGCATTTTTGATATCAACTCTATCAGCGATCTTGATGGCAGGATCCGATCCGACGCAGCTTTTCTTGTTTGGCGCGAGCACTTCCTGGAGCTCCTCGGCTCCGGCGACGGTTTGTTGCCGGCTATTGATGTTCTACGGAAGCGTATCTCTCCGTTGGAGTTGGGGAGAAGGAGGGTCCATGGGCTGGTGCGTGCAATGGTTTCGCTGGAAGGCGTGGTGACTGCGGAGAACATGGTTCGGAGGAGAATTGGGTTGCTACTGGATCTGGCGGAGGTGCTGCCTCCTTGGGTTCGGATTCCCTGTGGGAGGCTAGAGCATTTGGTGGAAACGGCATTGACAAAGCAGATAGAGTCTTGCATGTATCATAATTCGCCAGATGAGGCCTGCTTGTACGAGGATCATGAATGCAGCCGGGACAATATTCCTTGTAAGTGCAGCCAGGTCAGTTTTATTTTCTTAGCTTTTAATTCGATGGTTGGGGTTGTTTTGTTTGGCGGAATCTGATTTATAGCTGATTTAAGAAGATATAACATATTGTCATATTCATGTTCATTCTGTTCCCCTGAAAACTTGAGACTGAGTTAATGTAATTTAGGTTTGCCTTCATTGCTGATTCCATTTACTAAGAAAGGATCATCACTCTTTTGTATACTGTACTTTGAGATGTGCCTGAATTCGAACAAGTTTATAATATCCTATTTATACTGAATAAAAATTGAAAAAATTGGGACATTTGACTTTATATGCCTCATAATCGGAGGAAATAGAAATATGCGAGTTTTTTTATTTTAGGGAATTTATTTGAAAGTTTGATTCGAGCTAAAATACCCCTCTTTTATGAACCACATATCTTTTTATAGTTTGATGCTGAAGGCATTAGTTCAAACCATATTCTAGCACACATTGGGTCTATGTTCCGACCATATTTTAGTTTTATTCAAAATTTAATCGAATCTTCTTAGAACTATATTAAAATTGAAAATGTGTGAATATGGTTTGGATATGGATCAGAAAAGACTCGAACATGATTTGATCATAGTTTGAAAATGACTTGAACAAAATGTAAACATTGATTATACTTTAGATTTAAGGTTTGTAAAACAAAATGTGCTCACACGCAATGGGAGATTATGAGAGGCACAATACGACAAAAGTAACACAAGAAACTGCATTTTAAGTGATATGATCAATCTAGCGTGCTTTTTTATTATTATATTTTCAATAAGCTATGATTAATTTTATCAATGGTATTTTGATCTAAAATCCAAAATGCAAGTGCTTATTGATATATGGCTTCAAATCTCAAGAATATTTAACTTTATCAACATTGTTGCTAGCAAACTTTATGAGCGTTTCTCTAAAAATTAACTAATATATTATACATATCTATTTGACTTTTTTTCACCTTGAATTGTTTTTTTTTTTT